TTTTGAGACAGGGTCTCCTGTAGCCCCAGCTGTCCTGGAACTCACTATGTAGACCAGGCTGGCCTTGAACTCACAAAGATCCACCTGCCCCCACCTCCCAAGTGCTGGGATTAAAGGCATGCGCCACCATGCCTGGCATATTTAAATGTGGTTGAACTAAAGTGTAGGAGGGGGCTACTTTGACCACACATTGATGAAATTTTCCAGGATACTACTTCATTGAAAATGATTAATTTTTGAGATGCTTTATGCTGAAGTTGTTTTTGCTTAATTTAATCCGTTAACCTAATTTGCTCTGAGATGCTCCTTTATTTGAAGGGATTTTGTAAATCTTTTGCCTTCCTGTGGGTTGCCTCCTCTCCACCCCTCACTCTCCCATTCTAGTCCAGTCTCCCTCCTCTTTTGTTATTGCTTTCAGTCAGGCCTTATTATCTTAAAGACTTGGATTAAAATGCTTCATATAGTCTAAAATACTAGGTGATATAAAACTGATTTGTTTTGACTCTAGTATATTAGACCACTGCTTTTCTATTTGACCCTCCCTCCCTCCCCACACTATTATTTCCCTCGTCTTTTTGAGACAGGATATCCCTGTAGCCCCAGCTGGCCTTGAATTCACAGAGATCTACCTGCCTCTGCCTCCTGATTAAAGGTGTGCCACCAGATTAAAGGTGTGCCACCACACCCAGCCTACATTTAAGAATTAAAAAAAAAAATTTTTAAATTATTTTTATTTTATGTGTATGAGTGTTATGCCTGCATGTAAGTAAGTACACCTGTGTCGTGCAATGCCTTCAGAGGACAGAAGAGGCTATCGATTCCCTGGAACTGGAGTTATGGGCAGTTGTTAGCTGCCATGTGGGTGCTGGGATTCAAACCCGGGTCTTCTGCAAGAACAGTCAGTGTTCTTAACCTCTGAGCCATCTCTCCAACCCCTACATTTAGGAATTTTTAATCTTCAGTTTTTTTTTTCCCCTTTCAGGAGGCAAAACCTTCAACTGAGGACTTAGGGGATAAGAAGGAAGGTGAATACATTAAACTCAAAGTCATTGGGCAGGTGAGTGTCATTATTTTTCTCCTTTGACATTCCTCCAGTGTGAAAACACATAGGAAGAATGATTAGGTGTGACAAATTGTTTTAAAATTGCATTTTTATTTACTATACATGCTGTTGGACGTAGAAGAGGCTGATGATACTGGTTTTTTATTTATTTTTAAAAACTTAAAAAAATTTTTTTTTTTATGTGTATGAGTGTATTGCCTGCATGTATGTGAGCACAACCATGTCATGTAATGCCATGGAGGTCAGAAGAGGGCTTTGGATTTCCTTGGAACTGGAGTTAAGGATGGTTCATAGCAGCCATGTGGGTGCTGGGAATTGAACCTGGGTCCTCTGCAAGAGCAGTTAGTGCTCTTAACTGCTGAGCCATCTCTCCAGCCCCTATTTTTATTTTTTAGACAGTCTCCCTGAGGCCCCAACTGGACTAGAAATCACTGTATAGACCAGGCTGGCCTTGAACTCACAGAGATCCTCCTGCCTCTGCTTCCTGAGTGCTGGGACTAAAGGTGTGCACCACCACACTTGGCCTGATACTGTTTTTTGTTTTTGAGACAAGGTCTCTCCAGTCCAGACTGACCTGGAATTACAAATCCTCCTGTCTCTACCTCATCCAACTTTGACAGCTTTTTAAAATATTATTTTGCTAGACAGGTTTAGTTCATCATTGATTTTCCAAATAGAACCTTGCCCTTGGGTTGGATTATTTTGGAGCAAATACTGAAAATACGATTAAATTAAAAGTCTAGGGTTATCTTTAAGCAAGGGGGCCTGTTCTTTTCTCCACCTGTTTTTCCTCTTCTGGCGCTTAATTTCTGCAGACATAAGTCTGTATCATATTGAGTTCTCTGAGATGTTGATGACATCATGTTGAAAACTGTTGGAGGAATGAGTCTTCGTACATAAGTCTTCCATAATTACATATAATTGCTTTTTTTTTTGTCTTTTAAGACAGGGTCTCCCTGTAGCCCCAGTTTTTTTTTTTTTTTTGAGGCAGGGTCTCTGTATAGCTCCAGCTCTCCTGGAACCCTCTGTATAGACCAGATGGCTTCCATCTCACAAGATACCTACCTGCCCTCTGCCTCCCAGGTACTGGGAATAAAGGCATGTGCCACCATGCCTGCCCCCCCCCTTTTTTTTTTAAATATGCCACCATACCTGACCATGATTTTTTAAAAAAAATTTTAATAAACACATGATTAGAAGAAGTATTTCATTACAGCTTTAACATATTCAGTAACACACTCCAGAGCAAGGATACATCTCTTTCAAAAGTGGCTGTAAATTTTTAGGTTCACAGTTGAATTAATACAGTTATACAATATTGAACTCAGTATAAATCCTATAAGACATAAAATT